CTCTTGTAGCCAGCCCCTAAGAAGGCGTGGCTACAGCTTCCCCTACAATATGTACACATGAAAGGTGTGTTTTCTGCATTCCATGGGACAGATGAGACCCATGACTTCAACATTATCTTAGGGTGGGGCATTAGTCTTAATGAAATAGACAGAGTAGGCACCCTAGTACCCCAAAGTGCCTGGATACTACCTAATAATATTAAAAACAAAATAGCTTTTTAGTTTATTAGAAGATTCTCTTATTTCCTTAATGAACTACAAATAAAATGCATATTCTGAAACAATTACAGTGGGCTAATGCTTTTTATTAACATGTGCTAGATAAGTATGCTGAGAAACTTCAAGCCAGGATGTTATAGCAGGGAGACATAGCAGGGAGATAAAGGAGGAAAGGGGGTAGGGTTTAGGTTTCAGAGGACGGTATTGAATAATTAGAGTCATTAAGAAATGAAAAGTAACCCAGGCAGGGGTGGCACATACCTATAATCCTAGCACTCAGGAGGCAGAATCAGGTGGATCCCTGTGAGGTCAAGACCAGCCAGGTCTACAAGAGCTATTTCCAAGACAGCCGCTAAAGCCTCAGAGAAACCCTGTTTGGAAAAACCAAGAAAAAAAAAAAAGAAATGAAAAGGAATACATTTTGAGAGTTAATTAAAAGTTTCCTGCTCTGTGATTGTAGACACTACACAGTAGAAAATAAGAAAATTTAAGATATAAAGAGAAACAGTATGTGTCCTGGGCATGGAGAAGGAACATCTAAAACACCAAAGTCAGAGCCTCCATTCAAACATGCATTCTGAACAGAGAGGAAACTTCTCTGACACTGTCCAGTGTCATACAGTGACCACAGACTGGAGTTACAGATTATTTGTGTTGAGTTGAGGTAATTTAATGACAGTTGTTTCAAACGCTGCTTGTTCTCAGTCAACAGAGTCAGACCTCAGAACTTCAGAGTATGGTGCATTTCCCAGATGACTGGCTCTTTTTTATGCTCTCGATCTCTTGGTGAAGTTTACTGCTCTCATACTGGAATCCTTCCTTGAGAAGCCTTTCCTGTTCCTAAAATGGAAATGGAGACTGAACTCAGACAGCTTCCCATGTTCCTCAGAGGGTCTCACAAGCTCTCCTTTGTTTGTTACATTAATTCCCAGAGAAACTTAGCTGTTTTTCTTGAAGCCTTTTCCCTCCTTCACTTCCATTCTCTCCCTCCCTGCCCTCTCTCCTGCTTCCTATGCAAGCTGAAAAGTTTCCTGTGTTCCTCCAGCTTTAGAAATGCTGTCTAACAGTTCTGAAAACACTAGTGGCTCACAACTCTCACGTGCAGTTCCTGGTTCCTTTGACTTATGTGAAATACATTTTTGCTATAAAAACACCAGCTTCCTTCTTTCTTGCCTCATCTCTGATTTTATGGTGTGGATTCTCAAACACACCTAAGAAGATAAGAAAGATGGGTGCAAACCAAGTGGAAGGCTATTACTGGACTCAGGATATTGGCAGGTGTTCAATCAAGGAATTTAGCACAGGGTATTTTGGCCTACAATGGAGACTCAGAGTGAAAGGTGTAAACTAAACTCAAAGGCTTCTTTTGTAATGATTTAGAAATAAAGGGACCAAAGCTCACTCCGCCCCTGCTTTAGCAGCCATGACATGCTACGGAAAAGACATGTAGGCCTCTGTCAGAAGGAAACTCCAGATCCTCTAGCCTCCTGGTGCCTAGGGCTAAAACTGAACACAAAGAAACTCCACACCCCCCAAGTCAGCCTCCTAGGTATTTCATTCCTGGGAACTGTTTGGCCATAAAAGAAACTCCCCTGTAGTCTCTAGGATACAGTTCTGAAAAGTATTGGTATCTATGTACAACAGGCCAACTGCAAGTAACAAGACAAAACCATAGAAACCACAAAATATTCCCTCTCAACACTGACCAATGAGAATAATTGGTACAGATGTATTTTATGCCAAAATATGATTTTAAGAAATTCTCCTGATTGTTCCCAAATGTCAACCAAGCAAAAACCAATCAGTGCCTAGAGATGTAATCCTGTAACTTTTGTCTTTAAAAATTAGCAGTAGACAGGGAACCTCGCTCCCTCTGGTGGTTGCGGCATCAGCTGGCCAGAGGGATCCCTGCCATGTTTGTATGAACAATAAAACCTTGCTTTTACAGTTTGGTGTGTCTGTCTGTCTTCCTGGTGATCTCTGTGTATCTTTGGGATGTGATACAACAAACAACAATGCAGAAGAATGCATGAATAAAGGAAGAGTTCTACAATTTGAGCAGTTAACCAATGTGCTTGGGTCGGTAGATGGTTAGGGATTCTCACTATTCATTAGGATTCTTCCAAAAAACAAGGCTGTATTAGCTGTGGCAAAAATGAAATCCATACTGGGTCCATTTAGTGGAGAAACTATGCTGAATATTGTATCATGCATTCTGATAAAATTGCAATGTCTACATCCAGCACAAGATAATAAACCCCTGTTGTTAAATTGGACACACATAAGCAGTGCTGAGTAACCCCTAGTCATTGTCTGTGGATAGCCTAATAACAGATTTCGTCCAGACATAAACAGCTCTTACTAGACACAGCTGGAGATAAGTTGTGAGGGAAGGAAAATGTGTCAGCATATCTGAACTATTAACATTATTGCAGGAGTCTTTACTGGGAAGGTCTTACTTCATAACCTTGGCTGACATGGGACCAGTCATCCTCCTGACTCAGCCTACTGACAAAATTCATTTTGGTTTCCTTGTTTGATTTTTAGATTTATTGGTGTTATTTTAAGTGCATGAGTGTTTTACTTGCAATGTATGTAAATGCACCATATATATACAGTATCTGCAGAGGCCAGAAGGGGCACTAGAATTACGGACTGTTGTAAGCCATTGTGTGGATGCTGAGAAGCAGACCTGGGTCCTCTGAAAGAGCAATAAATGCTCTTAGCTACTAAGCTGATTTTCACTACCCTGATATACTATTTTCTTGTTTGTTTCTTTTTTTGATATTTGTTTGTTTTTCAAAACAGGGTTTCTGTGTATTGCTTTGGAGCCTGTCCTGGAACTGGCTCTATAGACCAGGCAGGCATGGAACTCACAGAGATCCACCTGCCTCTGACTCCTTAGTGCTTGGATTAAAGGCGAGCACCCCCAACACCCAGCCTGATACACTCATGTTGGATTGGCACACAGGAACTTGCTGAGATGATATGATTAAGTACCTTAAGTTTGAGAGATATAATTTTTTCATTTTCTGCCATTAGCTGTACCCGTTCCTGCTGCATCTTCTCAGTGAGCTGTTTCATATGCTCCTGGTAACTCTTATCCTTCTCTGCCATCAGCAGCTCATACTTGTTTTGCTTCTCTGCTAAAGCTCTGTTGGTAGCTTCAGCAGCTTCAGCCTTTATACGTTCCACTGAGGAGGAAAAGCAAAGATTTAATTTTTATGAGTTACTCTTGCTTTTTATCTCCTTTATAAAATTTTCATGTCTTTGATACAATTTCTTATGGTGATTTTTATAGGAAACAAACAATCGATAAAGAAACAGAAAAGCATATATACCAGTTTAACAACAAAACACCATGAATGATACTTGTGATTCTTTCTCTGCAATGATGATTTCAAATGGACCAGTGTTGCTAAATGCATCAGGAACTTCCGACCACTGCAGTCTCAGCATCTCTCACCTTCCATCTCCCTTGCTGCCTGCGTGAGTGACTGATCTGTCTTTAGAAGTGTTTCAGCCACATCGTCCTTGGACTCAAAGTACTTCTTCAGCGCCTCTTCTGCCTAGTTGTATAGAATAAGTTAAAGACAAGCCAATGTGCCTGTTAACTGACATTAGTGTTACCAGCCGTGTTGCAATTCAAATAGTTTCCTACATTTAAAGGACCTAAGACTGACTTAGAGATGCCCTCCCTAAATCCAAGCCTTTCAATAGCCCCATCTTTTAGAATCTAGTAAATGTTTTGAAGTACTTGTATCTTCGATCTCTTTGGTTTTCTTTTTCACATAACTAATATAACAAAACCATGAGCTGATCATGTTGGTTTTAGCTCAGAAACTGTAAACTCAGCCTTTAGTTGCCATCTGTTCATCCAAGTCTCACAGCCCCAGATCTTATTTAGTGACTACTGCAGAACTTTTATCTCAGAGTAAGGAGAACTTTGCAATGTTATTTTAAGAACAGTCCTATTATTCCAATGCTCAAAGATGACTTTATAGCTCATCGAAATGAGCATCAGACATTTTCCAGTGTCCTATAAGATGTTCCCTGTCTGGATTATGATCTCCTTTTCTCTTGATAATCTCTGCATTGTGCACTGTCTCCCAGAACATCGGGTCTCTTGCTATGCCTCAGATACACATTAATATACTGTTATGGATGTGTTGTTTGAAATTCCCATCATCTACATAGCGACTTTTCTTTCTGTCTAACTTCTTTGAATGGTTTATTCATATTTTCCTCAAAGTTTATCAAAAGAATAAATTACAGAATCTCTTATAAATATGGAATGCACATGGGTGTAAATTATTATGAAAGGTATATAATCAGAAAAGTGCCTTAAAATTTTAAAAGGAGATGAGGCACCATCCTTTTGTCCTTTTGTTCCTCCTTTATGATCCTTGGCATACAATTGAAGAAAGCATTATGTGCCAGCAGCTGTCTTAGATTATGGATGCAGCCTGAAGATGGAGTCCCTAGACTAACATTCTGGAGAACAAAGGAGACACCTGTGAACAAGAATTTGGTGAAGCCACCACAGCAGCACTGGGTTCTTCACAGGCGACTTGTTATCCATGAGAAAAAGGAGAAATATTTAGAAATTTAAAGTTGGTTGGTAAATAACTCAAAGTCAAACCAAATCTTAAACTCTATTTTCAACAAACAGTAGTCTAGAAATGACAGATACAGATGATGATGGCTAGCACTGCACTCAAGAGTTCCAGATCCTTCACTGTGTGATCTTAAGTAAGCCTTTTGATTCACTAGGCCTGCTGTTCTGTTTCTCTTCATGACACACTAAAAATGCATGGTTTGTGTGAGGGTGTGAGAATTAAGAGAATAAAGTTCTGAAACACTGGAAGAGCTATCTAAGTGCTAACAGATAAATGTCATTTGTCCATCGCTTAAATTACGTCATTCTTGAAGTACTTTGAATGAACATAACTTTTAATTAGTTTTCCTTTTTTTTGTTAATCCTCTTGTCACTAGCAACCTGAGAAGTCCATAATACCCAAAGCCAAACCAATCATTTTAGATGATTAGATGCCTGAATGGTTGAGTGAATGCATGAATTCCATTAACATTTCTGAGAAGTCCTGCTGTGCTTCCAAGGAGAAAGGTGCTGTCTGTCTCGAGGTTAGCTCTCTGCCTAGATGGATTAAAGACAAGGGTACTCTCTGCCAACACCTTTGCAGCTCTGTGTTCTCATGGTCATTTGGAAGAGATTCCTCACTAAGCACCTGCAAATGGTACTAACTACTCAATTTACCTGGAGCCCCTTTCCAGGGGTCTGGTTATACTTTTTCTCTAACTCCCGTTTCTTTTGAAGAAAGAGGTAATAACCTCCTGGTTTAGAAAACGTGCCCTGTTTCACTTCTTCTTCCAAAGGTCCAAAGATATCCTTCAGCAAATCTGAGCAATGAGCTAATGACACATCCATGTTTTTCTTAATAAAGGCATCTCGCTTCGCTACCAGCTGTTCCTGGATGAGGATAAAATCACACAGATGGTTGAGAGGATGGAGGCAACAAAACAGACAGCTTGGAAATGTCTAAATGGAGCCCATGCTCTTCATCTCACTGTGACATACAAGATACCCTTGAGGAGGGTGCTGGCTACCCCAATTGACACTTCAAATTTGATTTCCTAAATGCTTTGTTCTCAATTCTCCTTCTTCAGAGATAATCCCTGAGCACAGACACTGCTTCATGGGAAGCATCTATCTACTGAAGTCACTAATTGAAGGAATATTTCAGATTATAAATTAAAGATAGGCCAGCCTGTGCTGACTTCCTGAACCCACTTTTCTGTGATGTCATGAACATGTCATTAGTGGACTGAGGCTTCTCTATGAGGGAGAGTGTAACACCACTGATCTCAGAGGTTTCCTGTCAAACCATAGGAGCAAATACAGAGTACTAAGCCCAGTGATGCTAAAGAAACACCTAGTAAAGGCAAATTGATTATGCAATGATTTTAACACATGAATATTTCCCTGCATTTTCTCACTGTACACACAATGAAAGTACTAAAGATGATATGTTCAGCTATTCTATGTATGGGAAGCATAACAGAAGAGCTATCTACTTTTTATCAAGCAAGTAAGTAAATATCAACTTCTGTATCTCATTTAGGTTGGGGAGTAGTCAATGTCTTCTTCACATTGACTGTCTTGTTTCCCCAGAACTTCTGAATGAAGCCAGATGTCATTTTAAAATCCAGCCTTGGTAATCTGAAAAGCATTGCCACTGATCAAAGGGCAAAACATCTGTAAACCATCTTATGATTAGTGTAGGGAGACATTGTAGCCCCACCTCCTAGTAGCCCCTACAGGTGTGCCTGGCCATGCCCATGAGGGCGTGGTCAGGGGAGGTCGAAGATGACACAGAGAGAATTCTTAAGAGGCCAGGAGCACAATTCTCTTTGTCCACGCTAGCTTGTGGACTCTGGGCATGCTCTGTCATGCGTTTGGGCTGCTCTTCCTCTGAATAAAGAAATCTTAGCCTTACGGACTACAGATCATCTTTGAGTGCACACATTAGATTAGTTTCTCATTGCTAGTGCAGATCACAAAAGCAAGGAATTCCTTGGCAATAAAAACTACATTAGAAATGAATATTAGAAAAACATGTTATATTTAAAATTCTCAAAGAATAAAAATATTACATTATGAAAAAGTTAATGAAACAATACTTTGTGAATGCAGTTGTGTAATTCCCTCAGTGTCTAAAAACATGGTTTCCAGAGTGGGGAAAATAACAAAAATGGAATATGTGTATATGTGTGTTCACGTACACATGAGCATTGATGTGCAAAACATGACCAGTTAAAGTGTCATGCTTTTTGTTCTAACTCCAGCTGTATATAATCTTTCAATTGCCATTGCAAATCTGAGTGTCACTGTATTGGAAAGTAAGAACTATCTTCATCCCAGAAAAAGCCCATGTTTTCCTTTGTCTTAGGGTTTTGAGTACCACACATACCCCTAATTTCTTCTGGAACTTTTGGTCTACATCCTTAAAAGATTTCTTAATGAAGACCTCAATGGCCTCACTCTCAATGGGTCTTTGCAAGTCCAGAAGCTCCTTGAAGGTTTCTGTTGGCAACTGGACTTTCTGGTTCATCTGTTCTTCATAGTGCTCAATGGCCTTTTGCACCGCAGCTGAGTTCTCTATCTGTGCCAAAGTCAGGACAGCATTCTCCATGCAGGGTAGTTCTCCACTACTAATGGCTTTGACATAGGTCAGCACCAGGCTCTGTAAACCTATCAAAGAAGTTAAGAAAATGACTGTCATTTGGTAAAAAGTGCATTCAAAAGCTTTCAGGATTCTCTAGAAAGGATAGCAACTTAGTAATTTATTGATCTTAAGAGTCAGAGAACATTAAATCCTCTTTTTCATTCCCCTTCATTTGTTCAAAGATAGATGTTTAACTGAATGGCTTCCAGCATGGGGAGAGGAGAGTTGAGGTGTCCACTCTTGTTTCTTTATTTCCCCTTTCTCTCTCTTCTCAATCTGTTTCCTTCCTGTCATTAATTTACAGTTTTATTCTTCATTGATTTTTAATAGGCAAATTTCAGTTTTGCTTTTATATTGGTTTTTTTGTTGCTTCTTTTTAAGGTGGTGCATCTTTCTAGTCGTGTCTCTATCCTATAAAAAGCTACCAATCCAGACCCTCCCACAAAGCTTTAAGTAGATGAGCTAACCATCTAGTTCTGCTCATAACTTTGCTGATTCATTGAAAGCATCACACTCCAGGAATTTTCCCTGCCCTTTTATAGCATGACAATATGTTGTATGCTGAATGTTCAAGACAGTTATGCATGTAAACTAGAAAACTTTAACTTGTCCTCCAGAATTTCTACATGCTAAATCCTCATACAGCTTAGAACCAACTGCTATTTCTGTAAATCCATGTTCCTATCTTTTCAGGACATCACTATTGCACACTTCTCCAATGGGCTTTTCAACTCTCTTATTCACTCTCTTCTCTCAGTCACCTGACTCTAATTATCTTAAAGTTGGAAAGTTGTGTCCAGCTTGGGGACTTCTTCTGTTACACTAGTTCCTCAGGTATTACCCTCTGTCCTTGTGGGTAAATCCTACTCAATTCAACTTCTCACCTTGTTCAACTTAAAAAACACCAATGTGTTCTCTGTGCCCATGGACTTATGACCCACTAGCCTAGAACTCTGAATCCCATGTAGCCACTTCTCACTTATTATTAATTTTTTGAACTATTATTTCTCACTATGAATTTTGGGGTTTTTGTTTTCTTTAAAGTGATTCTCTGATGAATTTATGCGGGAATGAGAATGGAAGCCATATCTCTTTACATCTCATTAAATCCAAACATTGGCTCTTTATACTCATTACTAAACATTTTGTTTGTACATAAAAATTTGTAGTGACAAATTCCATACAGGAATTTGTTTTCATTTTTTTCTCACTTTTAGTAATCTTTTTATAAGTGGGCACCATGAGTGAGAGGAAAAGGCTTCTAGGGTTGGATTAGATTTTAGTTAATTTCTCTATTTCCAACTTTGGCTATTACAGATTTGAATGATGAAAAATGGCTTCAGTTCCCAAGTAAATTCCATCATGTGATGCATCAATTACATATTCAATGACATATCCTACAATAAGCAGACAAAAAGCCCAGAAAGGAAGAACAGGAAGAACAGGACCTACGTGGCCCATTGACTAGGATGCCACCAGAGAGAGTCTTGACATTGGAATAGCTGAAGATGTATGAGGTGAACTCTTCAACTTGTTCTACAAATTCACTACTCAGATCTTCTTCACTAATTGTCTCTAGTTTAGAAAGATACTTTCTCTGAGCAGGCCTGTCAAAGACAAAGCACTTCCTCTTTGGAAAGAATGTCCTGATGCAGAGCCGTGGCTTGTTAAAGCTTTCACTTTTATTATCAGATCCTGCAAAAATGAAAATTAGATATAGTAAACTTCAAATGTATTATTTCAATATATAACATTTCCAATTCCATAACTTCTACAACGCATATGTAAGCTGAAAAACAGCTAATATAAAAAATGATAAAAACTTAAGAAATAGGAAAGAAAACACACTTTATGTAAGAAAAAGTAACTTGTGAAATTTCACATAGAATCCAAACGATTCAGCAAAGCTCTGTTTCATTTCCCACAACTGTCAGGATAATACAGCTACAAAATTGAGACTATTGTCAACTGTGCCAGGAATGACATTTATGAAATTTTTTCCCTTTGTATCAGAACATTCCACCAAGCACAGGTACCTTTCATCAGGGTCAAAGAATATTCCAGGTACTCATCAGCAGTAATGGGTTTTCCATCAACTTCCAGCTCCAGGGAGAAATCTCTCAGAGCCCACACAAAAGTTGGAAAGAAACCTATAAAGTTAGCTGAGTCATCTACCCCATTCTGCTCAGGTGATGACTTTGATTTGATTAGATCAGTCAGCTCTGTCACATAGCTGAGATGTTAAATTAAGAAAACTTTAAAAACAAGTTTATTATTTCATGGTAAATATTCTACCACTACCTCCCCAAATTAATGTTTTGCTTTTGTTTTTATCGGTGCTGGTTAGTTTTTGTCAACCTGACACAACTGGAGATACGTGGGAAGAAAAATACCTGAACTGTCAGACCTACAGATATGTCTGTGGGGACATTTTCTCAATTACTATTTGATGCAAGAAGCCTAAGCCCCCAGTGTGTGGTGCCATCCCTAGACTGGTGGTCCCTGGTTGTATAAGAAAAGTAGCCCAGTAAGTCACAAGAAGCAAAAGTAGCCCAGTAAACAGAGATCCTTCTCAGCCTCTGCTCTAGTCTCTGTCTCTGGATTTCTGTCTTGGCTTCCCTTGACAGTAGAGTCTAACCTGTAAACCAAACAAACCCTTTAATCTCCAAGTTGCTTTGGGTCATAGTGTTCACCACAGCAACAAAAAGGAAACTAGGACATCAGCTCATTGATTGACAGAATTTAATCACTTGCACACATCTATGGAGCCCCTGATATGAATCAGGCACAGTTCAGGGAATAATTTTTAAAATACATGAAAGGATGCTACCATTATAAGGCTTACATTGTAACTGATGAATTCAGAAACAAAAACATTTAGATCTAATATCTTAAAATCTTCAAATTTTGCTACAATTTTGATGTAGCAACAAGCATTATCTAAAGACTAGAGAATAACAATGTATGCCATGTTACTCAGAGAACTTCATGCATTTTCTGAAGTCCTTGAAAAGCAGAAAAATAAATGAATTAGAGAAGTCATCTATGAAAGCTCCAATGAGGCCAGAGAGATGGTTCAGTGGTTATGAGCCATTAATGTTCCTGCAGAGGACCAGAGTTCAGTTATAGATTCAAGTTTCAGGAAATATGAAACCTCTGGTCTTAGCAGGCACCTGAATTTGCACAAACACCCACATTGAAAACTTTGAAACTTCTACTAGTAGAACATTGCAGAAATAGTCAAAAAAAAACCTTGGATTGAAAAAGCATGAGTATATGTGACATGTGTATGAACTCTGGTGAAAGGGTACAAGTGTGAAAGAAATATGTGCCAGGACATTTAAGTTTTGAAGGCCAAAGTAAGAAGTTTCAAGTTTGTTTTTTAATAAATATGAAGGTAGCAATGGATTTTGAATGTAGAGGAGGAAGATATGGTGGTATTTCAAAAGAGAACTTTGCTGGAATGCCAAGTGGCAGTCAAGACTGTTGGAAAGAACAGCTTGGTCTTTGAGACAGAACAAGGGAGGTGTAGACAAGAGACAATGGAGAGAAGATAAGGAGGTCAGCCTAGGGAAGTAAATTAGAGACAATGGAGAGAAGATACAGAGGTTGGTCTAGGGAAGTAGCTTTGCTGATAGAGTTTAAAACATGTGTGAATTAATACTTTCTAGAATAGGAAGGAACATGTCAAGATTAGTCTAAGGTTTTCATCAGAGCAATGTTGTGAAACATGTGGGAATTTAGTATAATAGGAAAGGTTGAGAAAATATTTTTGTGAATTTTGAGTAATTTATAGGTGTAAAAATTTGTTTTAAGTCACAGTTGTAAATGGATATTTGATGGTGACTGCAATACAAGTACACAGAAGTCCTTTTGACAGAATGATATTGCATAGGGACCAAGATTGGAGAATGAAGAGAAGAAGTACAGAAACTAATGAGCTGTGGATTTCAGAGTCATAAAGGCAATGAATAGTTTACCAGAGAAAAAAAAGTATAATGCTAGAAAATTCAGAAGTTCTACATGTAAGAACCAAGTGGTTCAGAAGAGAAAAAATGATTTTTTAAATGTGCCTAAGAGATAAAATGATATGACTTGTGAATGAACATATTGATACAAAAAAGAATACAGTATGACACCCAATGTTAAGTTCATAGAAATTATTGCAGCATTGATAATGACATGGGTGGGTAATTGGGAAAGATGGGGGGAAAGATAAGAGGAGAAAGAACTGGGAGAGAATAGTAGAAGCTGGTGACCCTTGTTTACATCTCCCAACAGTATGGGTTAAAATCTTCAGTAAAATTAGGCTGTGTGGGCTAGGAACTCATAAAAACTACAAAGAAAGGTGATGTGGTTTGAATCCTTGGCTTCTTAGGAGATCATCTTTCCAATAGCATAAGAATGAACAAGTAACTGTGAGATTAGAAAAGCATAGACTGATGCTGGAAATACAGCTAAAATGCAATCATCATCTCAGAACTTTTCATGAGTTTGCAGGATAAATATTACCTATAGAATTCTGTGAGTAATGAGTAGATAAGTAACACTTACACATAATGATAATAGTGATTATTGAGAAAAGGGTTCTAAATCATGTTGAGGTTTTGACAACTGCAGCTTATGGAGCTAGATCAGGATATTCTCAAGAGTGTGCCACTATGTTGGTGGCAATGTATGACTTAAGGGGTTTGACCTTGTAGTGTAAACTGAAGCAAACTCACATAATGAGTATAAAGGGATTGGTTAATAACTTAGAAATACTAAGGTCCTTTGTCTGTCTATTTGATGAAATAATGAATATGTAATTCCAAGGTTCAGTACTGTTCTAGATCACACTAAAGGATACTGCAACTGGTCCATGGCCTGCTGGTTGATGGTCCCTGTGCTGTTGTAGATGAAGGTGCTGCTGAGGAGGACTGCCAAGGTAAAGATCCAGCAGTCATTCTGGTTGTCTCCCTGCAGGTTAGAGAGAGAAGAAGAGTTACTAAGAGATTGCCCATCATTTCAAGTAGTCAAAGATGAGCCTTTTTCTGTCCCCTATTAGCTGTGACATCAAAAGGAATTTCTTCTACATAATCATTTTCTACCTGTACAATGATTTTAAGAATGTTTAAGGATTAAAATAAGAAGATGCATCCACATGTAGATGAGATCATAAAAGGCATTCAGACTAAAGGTCACGTTGATCATTGGCAAAATCTAAGCTGGACTGCTGGGTTTCACTCACAGAATATGTTATGGTAAGGGACTGTATTAGTGTGGGTTTCCATTGCTGTGAGGAGACACCATGACCACTGCAACACTTACAAAAGAAAGCATTTAATTGGGTGGCTTAGAGTTCACAAGTTCAGTCCATTATCATCATGGTGAGACATGGAAACATGCAGGCAGACCTGGTGCTAGGGAGATAGCTGAGAGTTCTATATCTTACCCTGGCAACAGGAAGTGGTCTGTGACAATGGGCATGGCTTGATCATAAATGAGACCTAAAGCCCACCTCCACAGTGACATATTTCCTCTAACAAGGCCACTACTAATCAAAAAGCCACACCTTGTAATAGTAACACCCTCTTTGGAGGGGCAATTTCTTTCAAAACACCACAGGGACATTTTAGCACTACTGAAAGTTAGGTCCTTTAATAGAGTTTTGTGTGTCTCAGACTGGCAAGAGTAGTGACCTGATCCTTCATGAAAAATGATGTTATTGCAAATTGTGGTGGTTTCTAAGAGCATGGCTTCCATAGGCTCGTAAGTTTAAACACGTAATCACCATGGATGGATTTAGAGATGTAGCCTAGTTGTGTCATGGGGGTGAGGATGGGGGTGGTTTTTGTGGTTTCCAAAGCCCAATGCAGGGCCAGTCTCTGTCTCTCTGTTTCTCCATTCTCCTGCTGCCTGTGGATCAGGATG